GAAAAGTGAGAATGAAAGGAAAAGATAGCTATTATGATTGGTGAACATCAAAATTAATACTTGGATGAAATGAGGAGTTGTTGGACTGAAAAGCTAGCGTCATTTGAGATACTTAAGACTGCAATCTATCTCTGAAAATATGGATGTGGAGGTGGATCATTTTGAACTCTGTCAATACTGTGTGTATCTGCACAGGATCAGCACAGCTTGTACTGGCAAGTAGACAAGAGCACATATAGCACTTAGGGAAGCAGCTCTTGATATGAAGGATGAGGCTCTCAGGCTGCATTAGTTTAAGTAGCCAGATCTGTGAGGATTTTAGATTTCTCTGTAAAATACAGCAGTAGCCCTTAAAAATTTCCATAGAGTACTGTCCTATGTGAGCTGCAAAAATGTGACTAAGTAAAACACATTTCTAATCTCCAAATTCTCGTAGTAAATTCGGTTCTAATATTAAATACTCCTACCTGCCATATCTGACTGTATTATTCAAACCATACGTGCAGAGGGACAGCACAAGTTATTGTGTGTTGCTGGCAGCTCTTTCCAGTGACCACTAGAATAATGCAACTCCTTGAAGCAGACAATTTCACATCCACTGCCTGCAGAAACTCTGTGGTAGGGATTGCAGTGCTGTTGCTCCATGGCCACACATCTTGCTTCTAAAAGTGCCTGAAGATATGCAGCAGGGGCTGAAAATCACAAATTACAATTTTCTGTGGTTGGGACTCAGTGTAGCAAATGTCTTTGGGAAGTTGTCTTTTTGTCTTCAGTGGTTGATACCAATCAAAAGCGGTCCAAAAAAAAAAAAAAAAAAAAAAAAGTGTGGGACTAGAAAAAGAACACTGATTTTGTTTCTTTGAGACAAATGGCATCTTATTGGTTTCATTTTTGAAAAAGGATTTCAAGAAGTGCACAATTAAACATTTTAATGAGTAAATGAGTTCTCAATGAGCATTCATTTTTTTTAGTCCCATTTTGGTAAACATTTTGAAGTTTGTAAACAAACTTGAAAGCGTGAACATGAACACTATTAAAAATGCTTCAGAAAAAAAGGAATAGCTTTTAATTTAAAATTTAAAATAATGCTTGAAAATTGTTGCCAAGTTCTATTCAGAATGAACTGAGATGAAATGCTCTCCTTTATTAAGAAAGGTGTAATTAATGTACATGTTGTTTGACATTAAAATGTACGCGTTCTTTCAATACTTCCGTAATTACAATTGTTGCTTGCTTTTTAAAAGTTAGGCCCTGTAATGTGCATAAATGAGTGGTGACTCTTTAATGACAATTACAGTAATGATTTCCTGTTCCCAAGATAACAAACATCTTCATCACATCAAAGAACTTTGGCACAAAGTGAAACATAAATCTGAAGGCAATTCTCTAAACTAAGGCTCTGGGATCTTAATAGTCACAGTTGACTGTCTGTCAACGGTTTATGGGCTGGTCTGGCCCAGTTCTGTGACCAGCAGGGCGGAGGAATCTGCGGATCCGAGCCTCTGGGAAAGGGGAAACAGGGGACCCCAGAATACTTGAAAACAACAGCACTGATCTGAGGTGGAACAAATGATTTTGCTAAATATAGTATTAGTAAGATACAATGAGAGAGAGAGAGAGAGAGTCTGTTTGAATTGTATAGACCTCACCACAATGCTGGGGTAAGAAGTGCAGTCCAGTTGAGTGACTGAAGTACAGATGGAGAAGTGCAGATGGCGAAGCGCAGACAGCGAAGAGCAGGAGAAGAAGCAGGATCAGGTGACCTTGCTTGGAGTTATATCCCCTTGCTGACCGCAAAGTCTCCTGGGGAAATGTAGTTCTTCTCCAACGGACGAACATTCGGCAGATATCAAACCCCACCCCCAGTGCATTACATGATGTTATGGTGTGGAATACTGATGACCAAAAATCATGAAACCATGACATTGTCTGGTTTTCACTTTTGTGTGACATTTCTGATTGCAAGACGTGGCAAATGACTACGAAGAGATCTTGTATTTCATTGAACCATAAGATGGCTTCATGTTGTTGTCAATGGAGTAATAAGGCTTTTTCAGCAAATGGAATTCTGTAACTTTATTCTCAAGCAATCAACTCAGCCTGCAAAAATGATGAGGAGAACATGGAATGGATGGTGCACATGAAATGTCTGAGAGGGGATCTGCCAATGACTGAAAATATCATTCAAATATCATTTTCTCCTATATAGCATAAAATAGGAAGGGGAAAAAAAGACCTGAAAGCAATGGCCCATCTGGTTTAGAAGTGTAGTACCAATTGCCTAAGATACAAAACTTGAGATGTGCAGCCACAGAATGATCTGTGCAATAAAACAATTATTCTTTAACTCATGATAATTAGAATATGCTTTATGTGCCATAACTTGAGGTTTTTAGCTTTTTCAAACTTCTACTGCTGTTCCCTAATATCTGCTGTTAGAATACTCATTTAACCAAAGGAAAAACATAGCAGAATAATTTTCTTCTGACAAACATAACAAGCTTCACAGAAGCTTGCACATCCTTCCTGACTTATGCCCCTTGAGCACCTCTAGTCTGAATTCTTGTTCTATTCAGCCTTTTCTCCCTACTCTCCCCAAAAAAGAAGATGCAGTGACAAAGAGGCTATCTAAAGTAAATAGATCATCTCTGTTTGTGTCTGTCCATATTATTAATGGTTGAATCTTCACATCTTTCCTTACTAATTAAAAAAAAAAAAAAAGAAAACATGTAGGCTCCAGCCAACATGACAGTCAAAAACCAGGAAAACACGAAGGAATAAAAAGTTTATGATGAAGAATGAGTTTCTACCTGTGACAGTTTACTGACAGCATATTCTTTTTATCTATCTGCTCCTTGCACTATTCTTTATCTTCAAAAATACTCACCAAACAATTCAGGGGAGGCAGTTGGCATGGTTCCTAATGAAACAAGATAAAGTATTCTGTAATGATGATGACAGCAAATTTACTAAATGTACTGCAGCTTGTGAACTCTGCAAATTGATCAAACCAAGATTCCTCGATTGCTTACTTTGACTGTTACACTTTCTCTCCTGACCCTCTGTAGCCCAGTTGCTTTTCTCAGCACTTTGGCAACTTATGGACTCCCTGTTTCCTCCTCTAGTTATGAATACTGGAAGAAATGAAGGCCCAGCTGGATGTGGCCCTTGGCAGCCTGGTCTGGTGGTTAGTGACCCTGCACATAGCAGGGGGGTTGAAACTAGATGATCATTGTGGTCCTTTTCAATCCAGGCCATTCTATGATTGCTTGCATCGGCCTAATGACCTTGAAGAAGGAGCTGTCTTAATTAACTTCTTGATAGAATGGATACTAATTGAAGAACTATCCTACCAGATGCTGAGTACCCTAAGCATTTTTGTAACTCTGGGAAGTGTAGTACTGTGCTTATTTAGCACTCCTGCCTGCAAAAGATTTTTTGTTGGAAATGTACAGGACAAAAAACGTATTTCAGCCAGTGGTACAACTCATTGTTTTGGAGAGACTGTTACTTCATAGTGATGTGATCCCTTAGAATTGTGGTTCTGTTTTGTTGGCAGAAGCAAAGAAATTTCCAAATTTTGTTAAAATCTTAGTGATGATTTTCTATTGCAGAGATTTCTTCATACTGAGAAAAATGAGTCAGTAGTCAAACTAGTCTGCTTCAGGTTGGCCATTCAAGTCTTTCTGAAACTTGCTTCATTGGGGAAACTTCCTCTAGGGAAACTGGGGGAAAGAGGGATGCCAGTTTTTGTGCATGCGCAACATTGGAAATGAGGAATTATTCTTGCCTTGTGCAGAGCGATTGCTGCCTTCTACAGGAGAGGCTTAGATGGCATTTAAAAAGCGGTGAAGATATGCTCTGCCTATGCTCAGTCTGCAAATCTTCTGATCCTTCCAGATGAAAGATACCGGGAATTTTGCAGTAGTATTTACGACCTCAACTCAGCAAACATTATGTATATCAATTTTAAGTGTAGTGCTCTGATGCCTGAAGAATTGAAGGGGCTTGCGAAAAAATTTACACGTGTCTTACAAATGGCCTATTCATAAGTTCCCCTGGGTATGTTTCAGTCTGTGTAACTCATGTATTTGCTGTACGATGATGTGTGAATGTGCAAATAGTGGTTAAAATGCGCTCATAAAATTAAGGGGTAAAGAAAAAGATAGTTTTGACCTTGTAACAACTAAAAATGATGTCCAAATATATTGCTGTGTGTTTTGCTAATGGTAGCTCTCAGAAGCTTACCAAGAGAGCATTTGCTTACATTTCTGTTACTGTCAACCAAGTAACTGTCTCAAAGAAAGAAGAAGGAAGGTTCTGATCCATGTGTTAAGTCAGTCTGACTTTTATTTGTTAACAGATAGCTGAAAAATTGTAAGCTTGTTTTTACTAATGATGTGGGTTCTTATAGGCAATATCCTCCAGAAGAAAAATATTGATAAGCAGAAAGGAAGAGCTGGTTGTGTGAAAATAGGACTAAAGCATAAAGATGTCTCCCTGGATGGAGGACATACCTGAGCTCAAGCTTTTCTGCTAGGCGAAATAGCTTATTTTCATTTGGAGTAGTAGAAGTGACAGGAAAGCTGAGAACTAAAATTGTCTTTTATCTTGACAAGACTTAAGTACTTGTCCAAGTAATAAATAATGTATATGCATGTGTTTGTATATGTGCATCTGAAATATCATTATGTGGATGTGTGTGTATATCACTCCCCTATTGAATGGGAACACCTTTGAACATTCTTATTTCCTTAGGTTTTCACATACTTTAGAATAAGAACAACATTCATACTTATTAAAGCAGCGCCTACTCAAGTTCATGAAGGCAGTTACCTTCATGCCTGAATTTGAGCACAAACTCAGGACCAAATGCAGTAAATTTTCACAGGCAGCAGTGAATCAAAAGGTTTTATTCCAGCAGTGTTTCAAGAAATGCTGTTATCTATAAAAGGTTTTCCCTCTGTTTATGTGAAACATTTTCTGTATCTCTTTTTAAGCCATCTATGAACAATCATGTGAGGCTTACCGGCACCAAGGGAAGACGTCAGATTTCTTCTACATTGACTCTGATGGAAGTGGACCACTTGGACCGCTTCGGGTTTTTTGCAATATAACAGGTAACATGTTTAACATGTAATGTTAAAGACTTAACTCTGCACTTGGTGCTTTATGCGGGCTCTAATGTTATTGTCATGTCTGTCATTGTGCTTATGAAGAAGATGCCAGAACCATTATTCCTTCAGTAGTGGAAAAAACAGAGAATTGGTAGTAACTGAGGTTTGGTTTTGGAGTGTTTCCTTAAATAGGATCCAAGCAAAATTGATTTCTAAAACTTAAGCTTAAAGGGTTCACTTCCTCCTGTTATTACTAAATGATATTAACAATGGTATTTGCACCTTGTAAAGGGCACAGCATAATATCATAACTTTTAGTGAGATGTCTGTGGTTTTTACTAAAGATCTGGAGACTTAGAATTCAAGCTTTCTTCAGCAACTGAGTAGGTCTTTTGCTTTAGTAAAACACTACATGTGGAATTCAAATCAAATCCTGCAGAAATAAATCCGTTACATGGAATCTGGACCATTCACTTTCCAGACCAGCATACAGCTTCCACTAAAAGCAGAGGGTCTACTTGTGCCAGAGTCTTGAAATAGAACTGTGCCTTTGTAAATGGGGCGATAGAGAGAAGCACAACAATAAACAGGTTTTGTTTAAATAAAAGGAAATTGTTATTTCTCATAGTAGCCTGAGATCATTGTCGAGACATGGCAGAAAAAGAGCTGCCTGTGGTCTCTCCAGATATTTAGCTGGCACTACATGTATCAGAACAGGAGGTTCACAGAAACACAAAGCGGATCTTTGTTCACAATTAGAGAATGAAAGTCCTTGCCTTATAAACTGGTGATGATTTTAAGATCCTTGTAGTGAGCTGGCTGTTGATTTTTCCGGTCTAGCCCTAACAGGAATTCTTTCCCTCACGTGAGTGTGCTGCTTTTGGTGTTTAACAGTGTCACGGAGTTAACTAGATCAATCTATGCCCATGACAGGAGGACAGTAGGCCCCTGCCACCCCCCCTAGCCCCACAAAGTTTGGGAAGGAAGGAAAGAAAAACAGCGGCAACGATCTATGGAGGAAAACTTATTTTACTAACTATGATATCGGAATGTAAGATAATGCAATGTAATACAATCTAATTGAAATTGAGACTAATAAATCAAATAAGATAGGAGAGAGAGCCTGAGACCGAGTCAAACCTGAAAAGCTTGGAACGGCTTGGAGGAAAGCACCCTCCAGCACCCATTGCAAGGCAGTAAGAGACTGCCCCATCCAGAAGGGCCAGATCCCATGACTTCTGTGATATATAGGGTTAGGTACCTGGAGTTGGAGCATTAATACTTCAATTCCCAGTGCACTACCTGATGCGGAATATTGAAGACCAAGAAATATAAAACCGTGACAAAGAGAATGCCTTTGTCTTTGTGTATAGATGAGGAGGAATGATGCTGTCAGGAGGAGGGTCACCGAAGTAAGAGAGAAAGTGCAGAGCAAGTGCCTGGAAGGGTGACCTATTCGTTAAGACACCTCAAACTTATAGGTCTGTAGTTTTAAAATAAATGAAATCAAATGAAAATCCCTATCTGGCAAAGTGTCCCTACCAGTAACTGGTGCCTGCTTTATATGTAGGGTTGTCTTGCAAAGGCACGAGGAAGTACTGTAACATAAGCTATACTGTGGATCGTGAAATATCATAGAGCCTTGTTTCTGCAATACAGTGGAAATTTCCTGCACTTCTTCCTGTATGACTTTCTGTGTTTCCTGTGGCCAGGCAAGAGTGAAAGAATATCTTATTATCTAAATTGCTAATTCTGCATGAGTATAGTTTGCTAAATATATCAATCCAGAAAACAAAGCACTCAGAATATTCATTTTTCCTTAATCTCCTTGTACTTAGAGTGTCTCAAATTAAATTTTTATTTTGATTTAATTAAGCAATCATTATGTTCATTAAATGCACGCTAGTTAATTATTAAATATGTTTTTCATTCAAGTGTAACATATATTTAACAAGATTTGTTGTCTTTGCTGTCATTGGATTTCGTAAGCATTGGAACTGTTTCACCTTTCTGTCTGAATATCCTTCCTTGATCTCTAGTGTTGGAATGTGCTCATTTTTATTATTTATCAGATAAATATCTGTGATCAAAACATTGTCAGTACTTTTTATGTCTGCTTAAAATGCAGAATTTTTGACAAACTCCTTGCAGAAAGCACCTGTTTTCTTCAAATAAATTTTATTTGGCAGAAATCCAGAGGGCCTGATTTTCTCTCTGTAATGAACTTGCTGACATTCTTATTTTATTTTGGTTACGAGAAAATTGAAAGTGGGGAAAACTGACAGAACCTGCTAGCCTGGAAAATTTTATTCTACGTATTTCTACTTTTCCCCTAGATATCTCATTCAAAATAGGGGAAGGTCATTTGTCTTTGATACCTCTGTTATTCCTAGTGCATAAAAGAGGACCAAGGCACAGAAAAAGAATTACTATTTTTTTAATTATCTAGACAGCTTGTGGTACAATTGGATTATGTTTTTGTATCATCAAAATATATGAGGGCTTCTCCAAAAGTAATGCCTTCTATTTTATTATGTTGGCCCACAATGTCAGAGGCAGGTATTAGTGGTATAGCAATGTGGTTTCCATCAATATTCTATTACATGTCGTTGCTGTGTAACAGATGGCAGCACAGGGCAGTCTGACGTGCAAGTGCATATAAAGCAAACAGGTGGAATGGAATTCCTCCAAAAATGGCGAGGGTTGATATTCATTGATGTTTGGTGAATGTTTATGGAGACCAAGCAGTGGGTATGAGCATGGTGAGGTGATGGGTGGTGAATTTCAGCAGTGGTGACAGTGAGTTACCTCCACTGTTGCAGGTTTTTATGAGTGTGGCATACAGGATCTTGTTGTTGTTGTCGAAAATGCATAGCTAATGCTGGTGACTCTGTTGCAAAACAGAGTTTTGTAGCTGAGAATTTGTGCTATCAAATGGTGTTATTATGCTCTTTGTAACTGTTGTCATTTTCATGGAAATAAATAGGAGTCGTTACTTTTGGTGTAACCTATGTAGTTTGGGCACCTTAATCACAAAAATTTTATTTTCCTGGGAACTTCTGCAGATAATAATTAAATGTGTACAGTAATAGACTAAGTACAGGACAGTGGAAAAAAATAACTTTTATCTTTACCCTCAAAGACATAGATTCAGAATTTTGTTATTACTTTCAGATTATATTCCTGTATAGTTTTCTGAAAGTATAAATATTCAAGGAAAGTGAATAAACTCATTTCGATCTTGTTATATTAAGGAAGAAATAAAGGAGAGGACCACATTACCATTCAGTGACATACTGCAGACGCTATGCATGGAAAAATACAGATAGTCAGAAATGTGGATGGCTATCGTGTATGGGAAAAGTAAATAGACTGAAGAGATGATGAAGGGAACTGCCACAGGAAAGCATGGAAGATATAAGTGTGAGGAAGAAAGAAAAAAACAAATTGATTCCTTCTCATAATATGGGAGCTAAGGAACTATTCAGTTAGCCGGATTTAAGTATTTATTATTACTATTCATATTTTTATTCTTGACACAACCAACAACTCAATTGTGACTGTGTATGTTGAGAAGGAATTGAACAGTCAGACACAGGGTAAAGAGGGAGAGAGAAATAAGAGAAAGGAAATTCTGCAGGGAGGGGAAAAAAGGAAAAAAGAATATGTATAGAGCCAATTTTCAGCATGGCAAAAATTTAACAGTATAGTGTCACAGGATATCTGCTGATAGTAGAGTGGATAAATATATTCACTGTCTGGAGAAGTAACTGGAAAAGCAAAGTGACAAAAATTATAGGTGACATGATATTATTTAAGTTGGTCAAGAATAGGGAAGAGTATGTGAGGCACTTCAGAAGGATCTTGTCCTGAAGGCTGTTTGTTTCAAGTCAAAGTAAAATACCTTTTTGAAAATAGGCAGTGATCAAGAATAGTAATAAGCCTAATTAAAGTCATAGAAAGACATCTGTATAAAGAGAGGCTAGAAGTAAATAATCCATGGCTATTTAGATTAGAAAGACTCAAAGTGAATGGGCCTCACTTACAGCAGTGATGTTCATTTGCATTTTCTTACAATAGAAATAAAGAGATAATTCAATGACAGTAAAGGACGACAAACTTAAGACTAGATTTAAAAAAAAAAAAAAGGACAACACCTTATTAACATACTGTTTTCTTCACCTTTTATACCCATTACACCCAGAGCAAAATCACTTTAATAGAGTAATTCAATAGTTGTAATAAACAAGGAGTGTTCTACACCATCTATGTGCATATTGAAAGAAGAAAATCAGGCATGTGTACCCAAACCATGAGAACGTGTAGGTAGATGATAGGGGAGGCAACATGAGGGAAGAGTTTTTCCCTGTAATATGATTGCTTGATGATTTGCCCAATCGAATTAATTTTTACTTCCTGCTGAAATGGCTGATAACAATCAATATCAGAAAATGGCTAATGGACCACCTCAACCTCTCATGCTATCATTGTGAGGCTTATTCTTTTTCTCTTGCTTAGAAATCTATTGATGTCTTCATCTCCTCTGGAGTAGTTTTTACCTTTGATCTCTCAAAGATTTGCTTACAATATACTGAGTCATTCTGTTGTCTTATTTTTTTACTGATACTGGTTCACTGTGTGCATACCCTGGGCTATCAAATCAATAATGCTTAGAAATCATTACGAAAAGTTCAGTGCTTAATTTTATCTTGGCCAGATATTTATGCAGTTCTCAAATGGCTTTCTCCTTTTCCTCCAGAAGTGCAAACTGAAGAGAGATGAGTCCTAGTCTTAGCCTTTGCTGCTAGTCAAAGGTCTGTTCTTGAAAATACTGTAATGAAAAAAAACAAATCATTAATGAAAAAATCTTTTCTGGTTTTACATTCTCCTCTGAAAATGCAATTACTGCTTATTTTCCTGATGCAAGATAAGTAAAGCTTTATCTTCTCTATTACAGACTGTTATATGCAAAATGTGTTTATATCTCGATACAGTAAGGAATT